CAGAATAAACCTTCAATGTTCCAATCTTATTTTATTGAAATACATGGTAAATGGACTGAACTTGTATGGCACCTTATCAAGCCCCATGGGGACCTGAAAGCGCCCATTCACACAATGATGGCAGTAAGCTACATTGTAGCCACAGCCGCCCTGGGGCACACTGACAGAGGCCATCAATAGGCAAGGCGGGTGAAGAGTCTTGCTCAACGACACAACAACTGAGAAGGCTGGGACGGAGGATTGAACCGGCAACCCTCCGGTTACAGGATGACTCCCCTAACTCCACTACAGCTGCCCAACATTGAACAATACCCTTGAACCTTTACAAACTAGTTTTAACTGGACATGAGGTAGAGCTCACAGCAGAGCAAAAGGGAACAGTGGCTGATTTTCAGACCTTTGTAGAGGTAAATGAGAAATCAGTCTCTTATTTGTTTATTTACCATTATTTAACTTTTCCACCGATCTTATCTAAGTATTGACCTATCTCCCAAAATTAAGGAAATTGGTGCCGATAAATTGGCCAGCCGATTTATTGGTGCACCCATATTTAGTGTGTTTCCAGTGTTGCTTAAAAACTTTTAGAGTAAACCAAACAACAGTTTGTTACTGAAATTAATCGGCGTAGTGTCTTTGTCTCATCCATTTTTACTTTTGTAACTTTTCTACTATGATGTTTGAAGGGTATATTAACTTTTAACAATGAGACCTTTAAAGAATGGCTGCAGCTAGTAAAAGTACAAAATGTACTGTAAGAAGACTCTAACCTCCCCCCACCCAGGCCAGTTTTCTCACTGTAAACCTTGCCCAACCTGAGGGTTGTTACCTTTCCTCTCATTGCAGCAGGTTATACTAGGTACTTGTATAAGATGTCTTGAGTTTATCATTGACATCTGAGCCTGATTCCCAGGCCACCGTGTGCTCAGGGGTTTTAAGCGAGCGTAAGTCTCACCCACTACCTTTTTTTTTTTCCACAGACTGCGTTTTGAGTTTTGGCAGCACTTCCTGGTTAGTTTCTAGTGAAAGCTGGCAGGCCTGTAGACCAGCTCTAGTTTTATCAGTCACTTGCCCTCTTCCTGCTTCTTTCCCAATATGGCCAATCAGGTTTCCTTCCACTTTGGCAGCAATGAGTCACTGAGCCGCGGCAGTTACTCAAAATCCACTTTTCCTCAGAACTGTCACACACACACACACACACCTATTCCTCTTATCATAAAGTATCATCTTTGGTTTAACTTTGACCCTGTTCGACCCGAGTGAGGTGACTCTGCGACAAACAGCTGGGGGCTTTGTGCCAAGAGGTGAACACGGTTGTGAGTCGGAGTGAGAATAGAGAGATGATAAGAATGTCATGAAAGCACAGACAAGAACACAAGGTCAAAAGTTGGTCTAATTGTGTAAAATTTTAATTTTATTCCTGGTGTCTGTTGTCCTCAAGGATTTTWTAAGTTCTGATAAGTTAGTTACATAATGCATACGTTTTTATTAACGTAATAAGTTAACACTTTCAGGAGTTTTAAAATGTGCACCGTTTCAGATTTCCATGTCGTAAAAAGAGGAACTTTAAAGTGAAAGTTTTGAGTAATGCTTACAAAAGGAGGGGCTGTTGGGTGTTCGAACTCGGTCCATTCAAAGGTCGACTTTTAACGTTTTGTTTGTTGCGTTTTCTATTTTTAAAAGAAAATCTCCGTATGTTCTGGTGTGTGCGAGCCATCTGAGGTTACAGAGTTAACAGTTTGTTCCTTTGTATGTAGGAATGACTGGTATGTGTCAGTGAACGACTTGGGAGAGTGGAAACTTTGCAGACCTTTTCGTAGACGATACATGTCGAACAACATGAGCACCACTCCTACCAGCTCGGTCTGTTGTCGTGCTTTGTTTAGTTTTTTTGTCGGAGGATGGAAAGCAAATTGGGTCCACGAGGCTGTTAAAACACACGCAACTGAAATAACCGCAGAACAGAAATTGTTAATACACAAGATCATTGTGTAGATATATGGGAAGGGAGCAAAAAACAAACAAAAAAYAACAATGTTGCGGATGAATTAAAGGTGATGAAGGTGGGGATAGGATGAGTCGGCCCTGCCTTAAAGCAGTTGTTTGACTTGCAAAGCAGGCCTGGGCTCTCATGGACTGCGCATCGAGCGAAGGCCCCTTCCTGAAAATGGAACGCCGCGAACACGGACAGCTGCAGTGCTGCTTTGTGCTAGATTGCAGGCCTTGTCACCCACGGGCATGAATTAGTGATAAGGAATGTTTCAAACCATGTGGAGGTGTCGGGATCAGGTTTGGGGCACCGTGTTTCCTATTTCTTCATGTTCTGTGCAGGTTTATTTGGTGACAGGTGGCTCCTGCATGCAGAGCGGTCCCTCCGTGCTTCGCTTGGCACCGAGTCAACTTTTGCGTATGTCCGCATGCTTGTGCATGTGTGCTTGTGTCTTTTTATCTCCTCTCAGCTCAGCGTCTTTACCTCACAAAGCCGTGACCCAGGATCAGCCGAAGACAGTGTGTGTGTGTGCGTGTGTGTACATGTATGGGGGATAGGGCCAGTCCAGTGCAGGTGCTGGAGAGGTCCGTGTGGAAGGAAAGCCTCTGGATGGACCTGTGAAGGACGTGATCTGTGAATTCTCTCCCTGCTTCCCGTGTCGTTTCTTTTCACCTTCTTCTCCCTCCCTCAACGCCTTCAGACGGGCGGCTGGGGAATACGTTGTGTTTTCAGTGGAGTTTTGCAAAAGCCGCCRGTCGTCTTCACAGATGCTTCGTAGCCATTTGTCACAAAAGATTTCGAAGAGTCTAACAGCGAGAGATAAAGTGTGGAGCAGTTTACTGTTAATCACATTTAACAGGMTAATGCAAATGTGTTATCTTTGCCATTTAAACACACTGCAATGTTTCTAAATGTTCTTATCATTGCAGCTTTTGGATAAATTAATCTCAATGAGACGATGGTGGGGGGGTGGGGGTCGACTCTATTCCCTTGATGACCTCATTGCAGAGGTCAAGGTAAACCTAACTCCGACTTGACATGTTGCCATAAAGCAGGTGCTCTTGAAAATGAGCATTTCTCTATGGAGGATAAAGCGAAATATAGCAGAAGAAAGGAAAAGTAATAAGAAAGGTGAATGCAAGTGAACGTGTACAAAAGAGGAGGGGCAGCCAGGTTAGGCAGGTTTTGGTGGTGGGTGTAACGTTCAAACACATCGAGGACGGAAAGTAACTTGAATCTTGTCAAGAGCAATTCATTTAATATATCCACCGCTCAGCCTCGTCCCGTGGGTCTGTTTGGTGTGTGTGTGTGTGTGTGTGTGTGTGTGTGTGTGTGTGTGTGTGTGTGTGTGTGTGTGTGTGTGTGTGTGTGTGGATGGGGTGTTCCTGCGTGTGTTTGTTTGTGTGTGATTTGTGCTTTATTGATGTCTCCGTGATGTTGCTGTATTTTCTTGTGTGTGTGTTCGCTGACAGAGAAATTGAGGATGGACTGCTCTGCCAACCCACCCCCCCACCACACACACACATGCGCTGCGTAGGCTTCAGTCGATCATTTTAATTCCCACCCCACACACAGTGACACACACACACACACACACACGTGAGCAAGGGGACAGGCCTTTTCTCAAACTTGGCACACAGTACAGGGTGGGGTAACCAGCTCAGACCGGATTGACAACCTCCCTTTTTAATACTGTTCTCTTGCAGCTTGTTGCATGTCCTCTTCCTCCTCCTGTGGAGTGTTTTTTTTTTCCACAGGGTCTGCGCTAACAACCCCACCCTCGTCTCTCCTCCATMGCCGACCCTCCTCTCCTCCCTTGTTCCTCCGCCTCCCTCGCTCTTGACCGTCACAGKGTACATAGGCTGCGCAGCCCAGCTCCCAGCATGCACTCTGATCCCCACAGCCCTCTGCTTATCTGTCCTCCACGACCTCTTGCTTGATTTCTTGCACAAACGCGTGCACACATCCGTATTTATCCACTGTATACAAGGAAACCAGCACCCAACCACCTGCACGCATACATCAAATTATATTCTGCAAACAAAAAGGGGTTGATCAGATGGGTTCAGTCTTGTAAATAGCTTTTAGACACTCATTTATTGGACGTTGTCAYCGYTCSGCTTTCACGCCGGTCTGCAGCTATCGTCTGTTTTAAAGCTGAAATCTGAGCAGTTGTGATGAGCCGCACTGTGGCGTTACCATATGGCTAATTTCCCCCCTTACCTAAAGATACACTGTCTCAAGGCTCCTRAGTCCAGCTGAAAGGAGTGAAATGGAAAATATTCACAGTGAAGTTCAGTTGTGGGTCAGGCAGACGGAGCATAAATTTAGCCTACTTTCTTAGGTTAATTAGGTTTTCTTGGTTATAAGAAACGTGTCAGAACGAGACGTTCTGATTAATTTAGTTTGGAAACGTACAGTGTTTAAGTGTATTGTTAATGTTAATTTTGTAGTAGAAAAAAAGGAATTACTGAGAAACAAACAGATAAAKAAGACAAGAAATAACATTTTCTACACAGGATGGAAGCCACAGTGGCACGTTAGGCATAAAAATACAAGAGAAGGTCGAGGTTAGGGGTTGAGCATGTATAATGTTTCAGCTTGACAAATGTTTTTCCCATTATTGCAGTTTGGGTTTGTAAGATATTGTCATCATTTTAAAACCATCTATTTGCATATTTCTTACACCTTGCTTTGAAGTCTCGTAAAAAAAGTGTTTCGTCTAGACTGTTTTCTTTCTAATAAAAATGCTAATTTGTATGAAAACCCGAGAGAAACTTCTGTTGAAGTTTTTCTTCCGACACCTAAAAGTCTGATTTTACTTTTTGCAGCCACTGGGTTCTGCAGCTCGCATTGATTTTTAATTATGTCCCGTCAGAAAATTTGTGGTTGTAGTAACAGCTGGTGGATATTTTAGCCTGTCAGTCAGTATTCCTCTTTTCCCTGTACACTAAAAAGGTAAATCTACTGAAATTGTCCTTTTCTTGCCCCCCGACCCCACTTTTTTTTCCAGACAGGCAGACGGACAGACGGCAGGACGGATACACGGGTGGGAGCTGTGCTCGGCGGCTCGGCGGCAGGCTGGTGGAAGATGTCGTCAGGAGCCGGCGGGAGAGGCGGAAGGCGGCTCCGGGGACTGGCGAGCGGTGGGGGTGGGGGCGGGAGGGGGGGCGCAGGAGAGGCAGAGGAAGGCCCTGTGGGGATCCCCTTCCCTGAACACAGTGCGGACGTCCTGGGCAGCCTGAACAAGCAGCGGCTCAGCGGGCAGCTGTGCGACGTCCTCCTCGTCACCCAGGACCGGGAGTTTCCGGCCCACCGTTCCGTCCTGGCGTCCTGCAGCTCCTACTTCCACAAGCTTTTCACTTCGGGGGCTGTTGCCGACCAGCAGAACATCTACAGCATCGACTTCGTGGCGGCGGATGCTCTGGGAGCTTTGCTGGACTTTGCCTACACGGCCACGTTGACCGTCAGCCATAACAGTGTGGCGGACATCCTTGCTGCCGCGCACCTCCTGGAAGTCCTGCCTGTTCAGAACGTCTGCACGCACCTACTGGACACCAAAGTGCTCTCCCCGCCGGTACGACACCTTTTTTATGGAACAAGAAGTGAAGCCTGGGGAAAGTGCATTTGAAAATGTCCACCTTTTGTAAAAACAGGTTATAGGCTCCAAACTGTCCACTTCTATAAACAGGCAGCATAGCTTTGTCCGTTTTCAGTGTCGCACTATGTCAAATACACACCCACTGCCTGGGCACTTACTCATGCTGAGCATTAGTGGAAGGACAGCATGTTATTTCACAGACTACTCACATCTCAGCACCTCACAGCTTCCTTTAGCATGAGGCTGTGTAGCAGTGGAGACATGACAACTAAGTCTTTCCTTTTGGTCTTTATTGAAAGTGTCCTATCATACGGGACATGTAGAAGTATCATTTTGGGCTTTTAGATGTTTAAAATTAAATAGTAATTTCTAACAATATAATTTGCCATAATTTGGCTGCTCTTTCCAGTTATGCGTTAAAGGGGACATATCGTGCAAAATCCACTTTTTTAGTCATTAAATACATTTTGTTGTGTTCTTGGAGTCAGTGCAGAAAAGCTGAATCTAGTCTCTCCTGGTAAATATTTATATTTCGTATGGGTAATATTTTCAACCCGTTCAGTTTTCTGTGATGCCTTCTATTTAAGGTATGGACTTACCAACTACAGTTTGGTGGTCTTCATCCTCCTCTGGCTCTGGGTCAGACTCTGGCTCCAACATGTGAGGCTGGTTGAACAAGTCTTCCCTTGTTGACATCATATAATTCATTTGTAAATAAAAATGTTCATGCACAGCTAGATAATCGTGTCTCTGCTATCAGCCCAGAATGGTCCAGTCTGGAAGCTGGAAKGGGGTGCGGGGTCTTAAGCACCTTGTTTGGATTTAAAGAGACAGCCTCAAAATGAGTTGATCTGAGACTCACMTCAGAAAAGGGGTGRAAGAGGGGCTTGTGGAGTTACAMTAAGGTGGAATTCAAACCAAAGTATTGTAGTTCGGCTTAATATAGATCCTAACTGAGGATTTCAGTGTGACAAAGAAGGATTTAAAAACATGAGATGTCTACTTCAAAAACAACCAAATGATAAAACAAAAAAGCTTTTCGCTTTTAAATAGTTTAACCGTGCCCATTGTTAGATCAGAACTGTCTTCATTTGTTGCCTTTTTGCTTATATTTCACTTCAGCTCCCYCTGATGTTATGTCCTTTGGTTTGTTTTGCTAGGCGGGCAGTGAGCGAAGAAACGAGAATGGCGATGACGAGGGGAGCGGCAGAGAAGGCAAGGAGCAGGGGAACCAGAGTCGAGCCCGGGAGTACCTGGAGTACTTCCAGAGAGGGGCGCACTGGAGCAGCAGCTGCAGCACGCCGGAGCTCAGGGACCTACCCACACACCTGCACTTTAACCACGGTAACGGGAGCACCCCCAGCAATGGGGCTCCCGTCGGCCTCGGCGAGTACTACTCCCCGCTGGCCCTCGCCTTGACGCAGCCACGTACGCTGGAACCAAAGGAGGAGGAGGACGACGACGACGAAGACGACGAGGATGAAGAAATGGCGCAGGGCAACGGAGGGAGCTTGGGCTCGTCCTACTACCCTCCCTCGCAAAACGGTCACTACTACCTCCCCACTAAGCCTCAGCAGGACATCAAAGTGGAAGACGGTTGTAGGGAGGGGACGGGGAGCGAGAGGGGCTCGGCCAGCGCCCTCCTGCAGCAAATGATGAACTCTATCGAGAAGCAGAAGAAGTCCACGACGGCCGGGGAGGAGCAGGGCGACGGGGACGATCCCGACATGGAATTTTACTTGAATTATTTTAGCAGCGCTCAGCACGAGGACGCGGCCGCCGTCTCCGTGACGCAGGGCGTGCCGCCGCTGTGGCTGTCGCGAGGCGGCGCGGGCCAGCACGGGGCGGCGGGGGAGAGAGGCAGTGGGAGCGGGGGAGGCGGAGAGAGGAAGATGCGCTCCAAGGCCTTCCAGAAGTGCCCCATCTGCTCGAAGGTCATCCAAGGCGCGGGCAAGCTGCCCCGCCAYATCAGAACGCACACGGGAGAGAAACCCTACGAATGCGCCATCTGCAAAGTGCGCTTTACCAGGTAAGCCCATTTAAAGGAGCGACTGCCTCGTGTCACATGCACTAATAGAATTGGATGTGGCACTGTAGAGAAACCGCGCAGCCGTGGGAAACGCCACAAAGCCCAGAGCTGAAGTATTAGCGCTAACCACCTTAGCCGTGCATTAAGAAGGGAGTCCAGTTAGTGTCCAAATGTTTACCCTAATTATGGTCTCACAGGGCGCTAAAGGGATTTTTTCCTTAATGTCACATTGTTGTTGAATGCTAATTTTAGCAGCACGGAGAGTTGTTCCGTCAGTGAGTAAGGGGGACTGGTTTGTTATAAAGGTCTGTTTTATGATCGTGGCAAAGTCCTGGAATTTTAACATAGGGGTCCTATAAAAGAAGGCCGTGCCACGACGGCGTTATCTCCTGCCATAAAGTGCTGTTCTGATACAGAGAGGGGGATTACAGGCCCTGCGCGGCGATCTGTCTCCAGTGTAATAATGTGAACTTTAGATCTGTGGTGTTTACCCCACCCTGTCCCTCTCACTTCGTCCCTCCGTCACCTTTCCAACAAAATCTCCTGTGTGCCACCTGGGTCAAAAATAACACCCCCCCCCCCCACACACACACACACACACACACACAAAATCTGGCACAAGAGCCGACATCTCGTATTCTACATCTGTACGTGTGGATTCAGAAGTCCTGCGTCTTCCTTGAAATCATTCTCTTAATGATTTAACTCTCAAGCCTGCGCCGGGAATAGATTCCCTCGGCTTGAAATATCCAGAATCTCTTTAGGCATAACAGAATCTGAATTTACCCTGCAGTTAAACTTGACTAGAGGTGGGAAGGGGGCATTGTAATCTTAATGCTCTTTGATCAGGGTTAAGTAATAACTCACTCCTGTCCTTTAAATAATTCACCTCTGTCAGTGTGACACTTTGTTCCAAGCCCTCTCCCTGAGTGTGTGCGCAGTCTTAGATGTGTTTGTCTTCATTAACACATATTATTCTGGATGGTTTTTTTTTTTTTATCTTGGAGGCACAAACTGGTGAGGATTGCAGTGAGCTTGCTTGTATGACAGCTAATCACCTTTTATCACCCTTGTGTGTTCAAATGGAGTCGTCTTAACTACGCCTGTTTGTTTAGGAGCTCTCAGCGCAGGAAGGTTTGACGATGCAGGAGCTCAGGAGCCAGAGATACAGTAAAGGCTAAAGGAGGGAGGGAAGGACACGAGTCAAATGAAGGCCAAGGTTGACAGATAAGGTGTAGTGGGGGGTGGGTATCGCAGCAAACTGAAAATGCTTCAAGATGCAATGAGATGAATTTCAAATAGAGGATTCAAGTCATATTTTAACTCTGATTATAACTGCTAACTTGTTTGTTCTTGCCCAAAATTCAGTCAAAACACGACTCTTTSGCATACATGTCAAGTTGTACGGCTTGTCCGTAAATTACACAGATTTTTTTTTAACTCGGCTTCCAATTGATTTTACGCCTCAGAGCCTGTAGGACATTAATAAAAAAACAACAAATAAGTTTAAACAAACATCTCCCAACCTGCTCTGCAGCTAGAAATAAGTTGTCTACGTCTCCCCGTCCTCCTTTCCTTGCTCCTCTAACCTGCTGGCACTGTTGTCTCCACGTTCTAGCTTTTCCTGTGGCCGAAAATCCACGTCACACACACCCCCGCCCCAAACGGGTTGACAAAATGATGTCCCAGCTTTAATYGTGTTTTAAATAGGGGCGTAACAAGACATCGATATAATATCGACTTAATGAATAACGACTCAGTTACATCAACGCAAAGTGAAAATGTCGTTGCATATCGTCATCACCATACAAGGGGTGCACCGATTGCAGTTTTCTGGTTAATCACMAATTATTTAAAAAGCCTGACCTGCCAGTTACGATTTAGTCTGATACAATTTCTTTTTATTTTTTATAGCTGACACTGTCGGGCGTTATAAGGTCATAATACACCTTCAATGTTTCCAATCATATTTTATTGAAAAACATTGAACAGTACCTTTTGAAACAATACAAGCTTGTTTTAACTGGACATTAGGGGACAGTGGCTGATTTTCTACCCAGAGGTAGATGAGATCGATGRATAAGATCGGCCGATCACCTAAAATTATGGAAATCAGGGCCGATCGATTTAGCAGGCAGATTTCTTGGTGCACCTCTACCTACCTACACATGACATTGATCTTTGGCTTGTGAATTAAATTGTTAAATTGAAATYGTACCACGACAGACTTTGTGACATTGACAAACATCGTATCATCGTCCAAACAAGTTGATGTTATGTCATAGTGAGAAAGCTGGTGATTTACACCCCTAGTTTTTAAAGGGATCCATGATTAGTTGTAACATTAGACTTTATTTGATAAACATTTATTTTAACTGTAAAATAAARACTGTAAAAATACTGTAGGCTGTTTAGTTTTGTAAATTTTTAAAAATATATTTTAACAYAGATGGAGCCATTTTATTTACATGCAAAACATTCTGGGTAAATGATGACGTGGATAGGTCCTCRGTGTGAGCGAGCTATATCCACCCTGAAGGTTAATCTTGGACAATATCTGATGATCGACTCTTTTAAATGAAACCAGAGAGCGTTGACAGAGAGGAGAAGGTAGAAAAGACTCAGCCTGTTACTGAAAATATGGATGGAGGACAACAGAGCTGCTTCATGGAAGAAGAACCTCAGCTTAGCCTGTTAGGCATCGCGCTAGCACTAACGCTATATTGCCTTATATGTATTAGCTCGGCGCTAGCACGACAAACAAGCTAAACTGAGGTCCTCCATCCATATTTTCAGTTCCAGGCTGAGTCATTTCTACCTTCTCCTCTCTGTCAACGCTCTCTGGTTTCATTTAAAAGAGTCGATCATCAGATATTGTCCAAGATTAACCTTCAGGGTGGATATAGCTCACTAGCAGCCTCGCACCGAGGACCTATCCACGTCATCATTTACCCAGAATGCTTTGTGTGTAAATAAAATGGTACGGTCCGTGTAATATATTTTTAACTTTTAGTTTAAAAATTATAAAACCTAAACAGCCTACAGTATTTTTACAGTCTTTATTTTACAGTTAAAATATATGTTTATTAAATAAAGTCTAATTTTACAACTAATCATGGATTAAGACTCATATATTTGTCATTAATTCRTGGTTTTATTGTCTACTATTGCCCCAAAATGTAATCCGTCTGTCAGAAATTAATGTTACCAGAAACAATGAAACTCGGTGAACACCGAGTCTTTGTGATAATCAACAGATGGTCTCTTGTGGTGCTGTAACAGATCAAAAAAATTTAAAGTTTATGACTTCTCTTCAGTCTGACTTTATACTTTTAAAAAATGACTATAGGAAATAKAATTATTCACAGCATTTAATTCATCCTTGCATGCCTGAATATCTGCATGTAACGAGGATGTAATTAGTATTTTTGTCCTCAGTTTAGTTTGTGACAACGAAGGCCTAAAGCTGTGTGAGCGGAGTGAATTCATACAGGACGGAGCTGACAGCGTTGCACATTAAATATCTTGTCAGTGTGTTCTTAAGCCGTGTTTGTCTTTCTCTCCCCCTCTCAGACAGGACAAGCTCAAGGTTCACATGCGAAAGCATACAGGAGAGAAGCCTTACCTGTGCACACAGTGCGGGGCTGCCTTCGCCCACAACTACGACCTGAAGAATCACATGCGAGTGCACACCGGCCTGCGGCCCTACCAGTGCTCCAGCTGCTTTAAGACTTTCGTGCGCTCCGACCACCTGCACCGCCACCTCAAGAAGGACGGCTGCAACGGCATCCCCTCCCGCCGCGGCAGGAAACCTCGGGTGACGGAGCCAGGGCTCCTGGGGGCACCCCCGGTTTTCCTGAGCCCCGGCGCCGACGCCGGGCCCGGACCTCGTGCCGTCAAGGGACGACGGCGTTCGGAGGCGTCCCGGGCGGCGGACGCTGAGAGCGCCGCTGGAGTGCRTTCACACAGTCCTCATCTGCAGGAGCTATCAGGGGAGGCAGGGCCCTGAGACTGCAGGGAGTGGGGGGGTGGACACTGCTGGACGCCACATTCACTCTGCACAGCCTGTGAGACAGGCCAGTGAACAGAGAGGAGAGAGAAAAACAACATGCAACGGCAATTTAAAAAGAAAAAAAAGACAAAACAACTAACTATTCCTCTAAAAAACAAATCAGGGTGTCACAGAAATGTAATCTTTCTAGTCCTTCTTTTACTTTAGGGAACAGATTAGACATGCAAGCACTTCACTTGGTGTATTTGTTCAAGAGAAAAGAACGCTTCAGATCATCCACCCATCACGTCCACTTTCTGGGCCATTTCTTTCTTTGTAAAAGTAAACCTTTTTTTAATTTAGCATATGTGTGTAGGCTATTGTATGATAGATACAAAGAACCTCTGAGCAACTATGCAGCTGATTTAGATYTCTCCTGGTTTCGTCCTCACAGCCTTCAAGCTCTAAGACAGGTGACTGTCACGCACCTTCTGGCTGCTGTACAAGTGAAGCGAGGACAAATCCTCCTAGTGAAACTACTTTCTTTTTTTTCTATTCTTTTTCGCAGGTCTGAGATGTACAGTTACCATAGAAACAACATTTCCACTATATGGTATATGCAAGAACAACTCGCCACTGTTTTRATGCAACAATTTCTTTCTAAATGTTCCAGAAAGAATCAGGCAAAGGGTTTGATTGAAGTGTTACTTACTCTAAAAAAAAAAAAAAACATTTTCAGAATTTATAGTTCATCTTGTTTAAAAAGGAAACAAATCCACACTGAGTCGAATCCACTTTAACGGGGACTCGCTATTTGCAGGACTGGGGAATACAAGAGGTGAAGGGTTTGTGTTTTTGAAGCACTACCGATCTCAATGTATCTTTTGACTTTACAACGTTGCCTCTTGTTCTTCGCAACTCTGCAATGTCAGCAATTTCCTTTATTTTACTTTTTTTTTAATTTGTCTTAAATTTTTTTGTTTTGTCTCTTTGGGTACGCGACACTTTATAATTCTGTACATGTGTATGAATAGCAAGCGGTGATATGATGTGGACCTCTTAACTTACCGATCGCATCTTTCCTCTTAGAGTTGTCTTATTTCTGACGGAGTGGGTGAATGAAACAAACGTGTGAATGTTTGATGGGGAGAAAAAAACAAAAAGATTCACCCGTTTGTCCTAAACTTTAACACTTGACATGTACAGTTCCTGCCCAAAGGATTAGAACGCTGATTGAATGAATGTGCTTCACTTTGTGCAGGTTTTTTTTTTTGTTTTGTTTTGTTTTGTTTCGGAATCTGTCCTTGTGTGACAAGGCGCGGGTAGCACTTAACCAACCGCAGGTTAAAGGAATGGCAGGGAGTCCGAGTACGAAGAAGAGAGATATGTGAGCACCTTTCTCTTTTTTTTCTATGTTTGCACAGCTTTACTAAAGATATCCAACAGAGCAAGAGAAGGGGTATATTTAAAGGAAGTGGGTTGGTGATGGGGAGGGAGTGAGAGCGAGGTTTGTTGTATCGTGCTTATTCCCAATGTTTTTGGCCCTGGGGACCACACTGTCAGGCAACCTGTGTGATGAAGAGAGCAATACATATCTGTCCAAGTTTGGAGGCCGAACAGGAGCTGCAGCTGCAGCTGGTTGATGGGGGGATGGGAACAAGGGGAAGGGGAGGGGGATCTCACAATGTCTGTTGCATTCCAAAAAAATAATCTCCCCCAGCTCAGCCACGTTTCCAAGCAGGAGGGGATCAGATCAAGCCTTTTCTCTCTCTGTGTCTCTCCCCCTGCCTCTGTAGTCCTCTAATGCCCCTGAACCAGCCTGGAGGGGATATTATTATATTAGAGCCTGGTGTTACTGTGAGGAAGACGCCTGGTGCTGCCAGTTTACTGTGTGTGTGTGTGTGTGTGTGTGTGTGTGTGTGTGTGTGT